TCTTCCGAGAATTGCTTTTAGCTTTTTGCTTAATCATGTGCAGGGTTTCTAGTTGGGCGTAGTTTTAACAGCCCTTGTAACCTGTGAGTAGATTCCTGGTGGGGGGGAGGGAGGGTGTGTGTGGCTTTGCTGGTCTGTTGGAGCAAACTGAGAAAAAGTCTCCCGGGGCACCTTGAAGGCAAAACAGCCTGTTGGAGTTGTGTCCGAAGAAGCGTGCCTGCACACAAAAGCTTGTACCTTGGATAAAACTTTGTTGGTCTTAAAGGTGCCGCTGTGGACTCAAACTTGACTCAACGTATTGTACCGTGAGCGTTTGCGTGAGCCCACGGTGCTCACGCCACCATAACGGGGCTGAACTTTGGAAGGCGCTGCTGCGGGTGTCGCTTCTAAGTCCTGCTGCAGGCGTCCTGCAACTTTTCTACTCAAATCTGCCCCCCTCCCTGACTTAAGTCCACCAGTTCAGAGGTGCTGCTTAGCCTTCCCCTAGACCCCCCCCCCCTTCAGCCAGTTCTGGACAACCTCTGGCAAACTTGGGTGTGAGCCTCCCTTGTGTTCCTGGTATTTTCCAAACTCGAGTCCCTTTTTAACATCTGGAGAACTGCTTTTGCCTCCGGGACTGGGAACCAAGGCTGCCGCGATGCCCGGCCCAGTGACTTCAGTCTGGGACAGTGTTTTCAAGATGTTTGCAAGCGCGGGAGAGACCGGCCTGTATTTTTGGCATTTTTGGCTACTGCCTTTCCCCCTTCAGATACCTGCTGCCTTGTCGAGAGTTAGATGTCAGGTCCCCCGAGCTCAGTGTTCTGTCCAGGATGCAGAGTGAGAGAGCCTCCCCAACGCTGGCGATCCAGTCCCTGTGGAATTCTGGGGGGTTCCACCTCATGCGGAAGAGAGATTTTGAGAAGCTCCAGGTGTGTCAAGGGCTTAAGACGGATGCCTTAAACAGAACACACTTGGTACTGCCGTCGTAGTTCTGTGTGCTGTGGCGGTGCTGGTGGGGTCAGGACAGATCCCCTATTGTTCCGGTGTTTAACAGGTTCTTGGGCCCCGTGGCCAGCTTTGAGAGAACTGGGTTTGATTCCACTCGGTTCCAGGTGACAATCCTCGTCCCACGACACACCAACCTCGGGAGAAGAGCTTGCGTGTATTGCTGTGGGAAACATGTATCAGAGAGCGAGATGCGTGCGAGATAAATTAGGTACCAGAGGCTTTTTTGCACTGCGAACTTTGAGGTCTTAGAAGGGGAGTTAATGCGCTGGGAAAATAAGGCACCCCCAAAGTCCGGCAAGGTTTCCAGGGTATCCGCTTTTGAGAGTCGAAGGTACAAAAGCTTTGATTCTTGGAAGTTTAGAGTCCGGCGGCACTTTTAAGACCAACACAGTTTTATTTCAGGTGTGAGCTTTTTGTGTGCTTGCACACTTTATGTGAAAAAGTGTGCATGCACATGAGAGCTCATCCCTTGGATAAAACTTTGTTGGTCTTCAAGGTGCCGCCGGACTCTAGATTTGTTCCATGGCTTCAGACCCACAGGGCTCCCCACCTGGATCTATCTTGAAAGCTGATACCCTGAAAGTCTCGTTCTGTAAGGTGCTTCTGGTCTGGTACCCACCTGGAACTATCCTGTAAAATAAGGTCTTGCGCAAATCCAAACTGTTGCAACAGACCCCTCGTGCTCCATGAGGGGCCGTCTGAACAATGCTCGGGACAGTTCTTCTCATGAGAAAGCGGGAAGGGTGGGGAGAGAGAGCCCCGTATCGGTTGCCAAGTGACTAGCTGGAGGCAGGAGCCCAAACATGTTCCCTTTATTGCCCAGCTGGGTGGCGACGATGAGTGTGGAGAGGAGAAACGCTTCCTGAACAAGAGAGAAGTCACCTGGTTTGGAGGTGCGCAGCTCTGGACGGCCAAGGCAGGTAGTGTGGCTTTGGGCTTTTTCCAGAGGATTATTTTGGAAGAGATGTGGAGTGTGTGTGTGTGGTCAGGGGACTGTCGGCCGGGGAGCTTGAAACGACATCAAGGAGAAACTTGCAGGGCTTTCCATTTTGCAACCGCACCTGCGAGTCTTACGTGAGCCTTGGCTGAGTTGCGTTTTCCAGGTGTTGTGTACAGCCAGGTGATGGGAGTGTGGTGTCGTGTGGAGGCACCAGCGGGAAGCATAAATGCCGAGTGGCTGTTTCCTCACACAACTGGAATAGGCGGAGGCAGTCTCCACATCTGGAGCTTTTCTAAGTTTGTATGGGGGGGGGGGTTGAGGAACTCTCGTTGCCAGATACTAGACGGTGCACTAATTTGAGCACATCTTCATCTCCTCTTTCCTCCAGGGCATACTTGAGTCTTCCCTCCTTGTTTTATGCTTTCTATGGGGGGTGCTGGACTGAGATATTGGTTGGATCACCCAGAAAGCTTTCTAGCCAATGGGAGGTTTGCTTTATCTACTTACTTACTCGATTTATACGCTTCCTTTCACCCTGATTGGGAGGACCCAAAGCCGCTTACATCATCCTCCTCTCCTCCATTTTATTCCAACTACAACCCTGTGAGGTAGGTTAGGCTGAGAGTGGGTGACTGGCCCAAGGTCACCCAGCGGGCTTCCATGGCACGAGTGCGGATTTGAACCCGGGTCTTCCAGGTCCTAGTCCGACGCTTTAACCACTACACATCTCCCTGTACCTGGAGAGCCGGTTTGGTGTAGTGGTTAAGTGCGTGGGCTCTAATCTGGGAGAGCCGGGTTTGATTCCCCACTCCTCCACTTGCAGCTGCTGGTGTGACCTGGGGTCAGTCACAAGTTCTCTCAGAGCTCTCCTCTCAAGGGCAGTTCTGGAAAGAGCTCTCTCAGCCCCACCTCACAGGCAGTGTTCCCGCTAAGCTGAGTTAGTGTGAGCTAGCTCCCTGATTTTTAGCCTCCAGCTCTCACCTTTTGGTCTTAGCTCAAGAAGGATGTTTCCAGAGCCAACTAATTAATGCAGTAGCCAAATCACTCGCTTACAACTTTAATGCCCGTAGCACACAAATTAGAATTTTTGCTTGCAAGACTTCACAGCTTGCTCACGGGGTGTCTGTTGTGGGGAGGCGAAGGGAAAGGAGATTGTAAGCTGCTCTGAGACTCTTTTGGGTAGTGAAGGGCGGGGTATAAATCCAATCTCCTCTTCTCTCTTCTACTTAGACAATGTAATGTATTGCTTGATTAATATATTGTTTTTAGTAGGTTTTTTAAATGTCATTTAATGGATTATCATTGTGTTGGCTTTAATGTAAGCTGCTCTGATTCTTTTGCTGCCGTCCTGTTTTTATTTAATTGGTGTTTAATAATCATACATTGTCTTATCTCTGTTGTGAGCTGCCCAGACCTCGTCATGGGATAGGGCGGGATATATGTGCAATAAATAAAATAAATATATGCGGGCGGCCTAGCAAGTTGAATTTAATAAATGAGAAAGAAAGAAATAACATTGGCTCTCTATTGGTCTGTTCAGCTTAGTATTGTCTCCTTTGATTGGCCGTGGCTCAGGAAGAGCACAGTTCTTGCCAAACAGGATCCGAATTAGAAGCTGCCGTCTAGTAGTAACCCGGATGGCCTCTGTACTCGCAATGGGGCCACCCAAAGACAGT